GGCCAAGGAACTTGAATAGCTGAAACAAAGTTGGAGGAATCACTTTAGTATCAGGCTTCAGTAATCAAGACAATATGGGCTTGGGGGAGGGATTGATGCATAGATCAGTGGAGCAGGATAGAGGATTGTGAAGTAGACTACATGAATATAGCCATTCCGTCTTTGACAAAGGTGCAACATCAATTCATTGAGAAAGGGGATAGTCTTTTCAACAGTTGTTTTCTAACAATGGGTCCTCCATATGTGGAAAAAAAAACCGAACCTTGATTGAAACCTCAGTCCTTATACAAAGATTAACTTGAAGTGGGTCATAGATGAAAACATAAAACATAAAGGTGTAAAACTTTTGGAAGAAAAGATAGGAAAAAATCTGCATGACCTGGTGTTAGAAATGATGCCAAAAGCGTAACCTAGAACAGAAAAATTAAATTGTACTTCATCAAAATTAAAAACTTTTGCTCTGCCTAGAATACTGTCAGGAGAATTAAGAGACAAGCTACAGACTGGGAGAAAATATTTGCAACCCATATATTTGACAAACGACTTGTATCCAGATTATATAAAGAACTCTCCAAACTCAAGAACTCTCAAAACTCCAAAAACTCAAAGGACTTGAACAGACACTTCACCAAAGAGGATATAAGGATGGCAAATAAACACGTGAGAAGAACTCAGCATTATTAGCCATAGGGAAATGCAAATTAAAACTGTGATCTTGTACCACCACATGTATAGTAGAATTGCTAAGACAGAAAATAATGACAATACCGGGTGCTGGCAACTGGGACTCTCATGCACTGATAGGAATGCAAAATGGTACCCCACTCTGAAAAATCATTTGGCAGTTTCTTAGGACGTTATATATGCACTGAGTATGTGATCCAGCAGTTCTACTCCTGGGTATCCACCAGTGAAATGAAAACTTGTGTTCACTAAAAAGTCTGTACATGAATGTTCATAACAGTTTTATGTGATGGCCAAAACTTGGAAACAGCCCAGATGTACTTCAGAGGATGAATAGGTCAAGTGTGGTACATTCACACAATGAAATAGCACTCGGCAGTAAAAGTAGTGATACACACAACTTGGATGAAACTCCAAAGACGTTACACTGAGTGAGGCAAGCCAGGGTCGAAAGGTTTTATACTGTTTGATCCCTTTTTTTAACTTTCTTGAAAAGACAAAACTATAGTGCTGGGAAACAGACTGGTAGTTGCCAGGGGTTGTGCGTGAAGGTGAAGGTTTATAGATCAGTGAGTTGTACCAGGGAGCTTTTTGGTTGTTGGCAGTTACACAAATACATACATGTGTTGAAGTTTATAGAACTGTACGCTAAAAAAAAAGTCACTCTTACCATGTAATGAAAAAGATTATTTTTTAAAATGTCAAAGTTCATTCTGTTTTATGAATCTTTGTGTACAAACTTGTTTTTTTGTGTGTTTTATTTCTTGTTTTTCTCCCCTCTTACTTTGCTTTGGTGTAGATCATTTTCATACAATGTTCTTTCTTCTTGGTAAGCCCTTTTAATTTGGAAACCCATATTCTTCAGTTCTGAGGGTTTTCTTGGTTTTTGTTATTGTTGTATTTTCTCCATGTTTCTTCCCCACCCCCCCCACTCCCCTGCCCATTTTCTCTGTTTTTGCTTGCTGATATTTTTCAGACTTTGGAACTCTTAGCTTGTTGGTATTCTAATATTTTCATATTTTATCTTCTGTTTTCTGTCCTTCTCTTTATTTTTGTCTTTTTGTCCATTTCTGGAGACTTACTTAATTTTAAGTTTTCAAACTGTTATTTACTAACCAAGAGTTCATTTTTTGTTCTCTAATTGTTTCTTTTTAAAGATATCCTATTCTCATTTCATTGTTGTAATATTTTTTATTAATGGTAGTTTTTTTCTTCCTGAATACTTTTCTATTTTACTATTACGTATTTCTTATTAGATGCTTTCCTTCAATATCTGATGGTCCTTTGCTTATATTTAGGAGGAGGATGCAAATGCTCCCTGGAAGTGCATAGCATGTTGTGGGGCTTGTCAACTTTGAGCTTCAGTCTTACAGTCTGGTTGGGCTGTATAGTTGGGGATCCTCCCAAGGCAGTATCATTGGTGCTTTCTTTTTAATCTGATAGAATTTCCAGAGAGATTTTTTTTTTTAAGTCTCCTACATGGAGGGAAAGACCTGGTTCAGTGGAGGGAGAGGGCTGTGGGTCTCAGTATCTAGGATATTCATTTAATCTCCTTAGTTCCAGTCCAGTATCTTGTCCTCAGCTGTGTCTCTGTACTGCTAATCAAGAGGCCCTGTGTTTTACCTTTTCAAGGAATAAATCTTCAGTATTCTGCCCCGGTAGCAGGAAGAAGCTGGGGAGCTAATTGCTTCTGAAGCAGACTTTCACCCAACACTTATTCTAGCCATCCTCCTCCCCTCTTCCGCTTCCACTTACGTAGGTATCTGGCACTGCCAGCTTGAGTCTTTCAGGAACTCTTCTGTGTAAAATCAAGTTGGTTCTTGTTTTGTCGCTATGCTTAGCTTAGGTTTAGTTTTCTCTTCTTGATCTGTATGAGTGAAAATGTTCTAGCTCACGTGAATAGAAGTCTGAAGAATCATCAAAATAGAGCTTTAGTCACAGCCTGTCAATCAATTTCCAGACTAAGTCAGTTTACAGATGCAGGCCCCTTGAATAAAGAGGTACTTGGGTCACTTTACAGACGAACCCCACCATGCAGCAATGTAACAACTGGTAGAATGCCCACATTTATTTTGCTTGGATTTGCTGAGTCATTTACCATTCATCAGTTTGCCTTCCTGCTTGCAAATTGTATTGGTATCACTTCTTCCCTTTTGTTTTTCTTGTTCTTGTGTGTTTGTGACTTAAAAAACTTTTTTTCATTGTTTTAGTGGAGTTCTAGTAGGGAATGAGTATGCTGTGTATGTTCAGTTCCATCTTTCACCTGCAACCTCTGTCTGTATTCTTTTGCTAGATGATACACAATCTCAGGGCTTTGAAGATCATCCATAGCCTGGTGATCCTAAATTTATGTCTCAAACCTTACTTCTTTTACCTCTGATCTTTGGACGTGCAATTACAACTGCTTACTCAACATATTCTCTTAATATATCTAATACACACCTCAGACGCTTCATTCCCAACCGTCCCTTTGAAATGCCTATTTCTCATCTAATCTTGTTCTCAGTACCACTTACTAACCACCCACTTGCTTGATCACAAATCTCTTTCCTTCTTTTCTACGTCAACTTTATCAGCAAGTCCTATCAGTTCTAAATTAAAAAAAACAAAACAAAACAAAACAAAACCAGAATTCATCCAGTTCTTGCCATCTTTATGGCTGCTACCCTGATCAGAGCCATTTTCATTTCTCACCTGGGTCCATGCAGTAACCTTGCAACTCTTCCCTGCCTGCGCTCTTGCCCTACTCTATAATCCACTGTCTACACAGTAGCTAGAGTGAACATTTTAAATTCTAAATTAAGCCACATACATTCCCTGATTCAAAACCCACAATGCTATCCCCCTGTACTGTGAATGGTGTCCACACTCCTGACTCTGTCCACAAGGTCTGTGCCTAACTCTCAGACTTCAGCTCTTGCCAGTGTCTTCCTGGCTCCCTCTCCTCTGGTCACACAGGCCTTTCTGGTATCAAACACACCAAACTTATTCCCTCCCTTGGGGCCTTTGTAGTTGCCATTTTTTAAAAAAATTTTTTATTTATTTAGACAGAGACACAGCGAGAGAGGGAACACAAGCAGGGGGAAGTGGGAGAGGGAGAAGCAGGCTTCCCGTGGAGCAGGGAGCCCAATGCGGGCTCAATCCCAGGATCCTGGGATCATGACCTGAGCCGAAGGCAGACGCTTAATGACTGAGCCACCCAGGCGCCCCCGTAGTTGCCATTTTGTCTCCCTGAATATCCTTCCCCCATGTCTTCATATGGCTCACCCCTCAGTTCATTCAAGTCTCTGCTCAGATAGCATCACCTCTGAGAAGCCTTCCATGACCAGCTGTTCCACCTGTCTTCCAGATTCCTCTATTACCTCATCTTATTTATTTCCTTTTGAAAGTATCTTGTTCTTTATTGTCTTCCTCTAGCCATTTGAGAATAAAGCCTATGAAGGCATTGGTCTGATCCATCTTGTTCTTTGCTGGTACTGTCACATCTAGAGCAGAATCTGGCCCATAGTATACAGTTAATCAAAGACTCTTAGATGGCTGGGTAGTGGGGGAGGGTGAACAAATGCTTGCTGAACTCTGTTTGGACTGTTAGCATGTTAATTCTTCTGGGGTATCTCAGAATTAAGCCTTTCTACAGAGTTCTTTCCCATCTTAACTGATTCTACTTACGAATGTCTTTAAGTGTCCCCTCTCTTCCTGCCAATAAATCTGTTTTAGGGCCGAAAGTTTGAATTCCCAAATAGCAGATGGCTGATCCTGTTTTTCTTTCTCCCTGCCTTTAGCCATGCAGTCATACCCTCAGCTGTGTTTTGTGCAGGAGCCAAGATGAGATTTTGGCAGAGGGATGGCCAGTGCATTTGCTCATCCCTCAGACCCGGCAGGGTGTGGTGCTGGACTAGAAATGAGAGATCGCAGCTAGAAATTGAGTCCTGCTGGCTCACCTCTCAGTATTAGTATTCTGCTTTTGCTTTTCTGCTCTCTCCCAGCCTCTTGTCTTTTGATTTTTAACATCGACTTCTGCCAGCCACTGATCCTGTTAACACTGCCAGTGAGATTGAGGTAGGGGTGGCGTCAGTCAGTTTCATTTCCTCATCTTCAGAGAGGAGCTGCGAGATGACAAATTGTGAAGCCGCCTCTGTCTAGTCACCAGTTGTAAATATGATGCCTTCTAGTCTGCTTGCCCTAGAATCATGTGGTACTTCAGTGTTTGTGGGTCTGCTTACAAGTTTCTTTTTAATATCTGATGAAGTAGGGATGAACCCAGGAAATGACCCCTTTGCTTTTTTGTTTCCTTCTCTCTGTTTTGTACAAATCAGGAGGTTCATCAAGAACGGATTGCGTTGGAAAACCAATTGGAACAACTTCGTCCAGTCACTGTGTTGTAACCCCCAAGACTCAAGTAACAGTGGGTGACTTTTTCTGCCAAGATCTTTCCTTTGAATGTTTCAACCCAACTACTTGTCATAGGTGTCCAAGACTGTGTGAAAAGCTGCGAGCAGCGGAATATAATCCATATTTCCTTTTCTCTTGTACTTCACTTGTATGTTTTACTCTGGTGGAAAAAATACAACTGATTCTCACACTTGAAATTATAGTTTCAGTGGAATTTATCTCCCATTCTTAAGTACTTCCTCAAGTTGTTAGATGTTGCTCCTTACCAAAAACCAATCTTCTAGCAATTAAAAACAATTTAGAGCATTATTTATTTAAAGAATTTATGATTTGTATAAAACCTCATAGCCAATACCTTCAGGATGCTTGTTTTATTTTTGTATGTATATCAAATACAGTAGCTTGGTTTCCTGAATAATTGGGATTCCAACTGGATAGTCTTTGGCATGATGATAATAAAAGCAAAAACTAAAACAAGAGCATCAGATTTAGACAGGCTCCGTGCCCTCCGCCACCATATGCCAAAAATTGCTTCTCTAGTGCCATTTTGACATTGTATCTAGCTATAAATAATACATAACTATTGTTTTCTGTTAAATGGCAGAGACTTATTGGGTCTTTGCACCTCTGTAAAGTGGAAGTTTTGTCAATGATCTATTTAACTTGGCCCAGTTAGGCCTTCAACTCACAGAATTCAGTCCTTTCATGTAAATTTTTGGGTAAGAGCAATCCACTTTAACCGCCTCACTCGATCAAATTAAATAAATAGTTGCCAGATCGCTACTTTTATCCTGCATGGGATAACATGTTTGTAAATGCATGAATTTGGAAACTACACATCAGATGTGAAAGGCTGAAGAGACTGTTTGGACTGTTAAATATTTGTTGCTTGAACCCAGGTATTCACCCTGGAGAAGAAGGGGAAATGGTTGTTACCAGCAATCCAACAACTCTGGTAGTTATTTTTGTCTTTGTTATTTTAACCTGGATTGTGATTGTATTGAGTATAAAGGACTAATGAAAGAAAACCGATCTTCACTCTGGATATACAACTGTTTGTTCTCTGTGAAGTGTACCCTTGGGAAGTGATTGGTTTATGTACCGTCCAGTGGAGCCCAGCTGACTCCAGTGTATGTGATGTAAAACCATGAGCTCAAATTGCCGAAGCCAGTATCCTGTGGAAGTTTTGATCACCCACTGCTCCTGAAAGCTCAAGTTGAATATGGGAAGTGACTGACCCCCACAGGGATCAGGGCATGCCCGCTTTCACATCACTTTGAGAGACTGATTACAAGAAATGCTCTCTTTCTCTCTCTCTCTCTCTCTCTCTCTCTCTCTCTCTCGTGTATTTTGCTAATTTACCCATTCTTAGAGTAGAGGTGTGGGGTGTGCCTGGGGTCCTTTTTGAGGTGGTTTAGGATAGGTTTGCAGTGTGGGATTAAGCCTTCAGTTTCAGTAGAGTTGACAGCTTTTAGAATAAGGAGGTGTTTATTTAATGCTTCCTTAGTTTATTTGCAAGCTTTATCAATAGCTTAATGGCAGAAGAGAAAGGCTCAATCAGATGATGTTTTCCCAAAGAAAAACAAATTGTTGATTCTATCCTGTGCATATTAAAAGATTTTGAATTGATTTGATTTTGAAAATCCCAGAACTTAAACTATTTCTCTATTCCCCCTTTCTTTCCCTTTTGGGTAGCCTTTTCTGTCCCTCTGGGAGGGGTTTGGAGTCATTTTAAACCCTTCCTAAGATTATGAATGGGCAGTGCAGATTTTTGACGTAACCTCTTTTCCCATGTCCTGAGATCGAGGGGCTAAAGCTATTTTTATCAGCAATGTCCTTGCTGCAGACATTCCACAGCATGCTTAGCTTTTGTTACATTCCGCCCGGGAAAGAACAGCGTGTGCGCTCCATCTCCTCATCTTCCAGTACCTGTGCGCTCCCTCGAGATAGCACTGCATGTCCAGTAAGGAGGCATATGAGCTCAGGAATGTTAGTCTTTAGTATACATTTAAAAAAAATATTGATATGTTTTCCCCCCATCAAGTCAGTGCCAGAGTGAGACAAATTAGGAGGTTGGGGTTTTGTTTAGCTGGCTTGGTCTTCACTAAAGGACCAAACTCACATTGGACAGTTAAAGTCCCATGAGTTGCATAGTTTCACCGATATTTTGAGATGAGCATTGCATTAAAGCACACATCAATGTCTATACTCAGCTTTCTTTTTTTTTTACATTTTAAAATTTTATTATGTTAATCCCCATACATTACATCATTAGTTTTTGATGTAGTGTTCCATGATTCATTGTTTACATATAACATCCAGTGCTCCATGCAATACGTGCCCTCCTTGACTGCACTTAACAGTGACCATAGTGTATTAGTTGCTTAGAAGTGGGTTAAAAAAAAAAACCAATATACACTATTATTATTACCTGACTAGTGCTCTTCTTCCATGTCTCTGTTTTCTCAGAATGTGCACTTTTAATTTAGGATTATAGCTCCTGTATGTTTCTGTGAGCCTTCAATGTGATTTACAGGAAGGCTGGGACTGAAATCACCATTATAGAAGTTCTATAAAACTTCTCCAAAACTAGACCCACTCGTTGGGCAGAATTCAGTGGACATAATGTCGATGTTGCCCCCATCTGTGGGGGCTTCATAAACTTGTTAAGTGGTCTTCCTCTAAAGGGGTCCTATAGTCCCATGATGAAAGCACAGTAGGAATTGATAGCGGGCTAATGGGGTACCTCAGTGTCTCTTGTAAGTGGTGTATTACTTCTGCCACATCCCTGTCCAGCAGACATGAAGTACAACCAAGAGGTAGATTTCTGGAATGGAGATGCTGTTGTAATCAAGGCAGATACTTGCACTTGTTTCAGTTGGAAAGATCTAACTGCTTTATAAATACTAGGCAAGTGCTTTGGGCCTGGTTGGGAGGGGAGACATCTTAGCTGGAAGCTATGCCCATTTTACTCTCCTTGGAGAAGAGGATGTCAGAGCTGAGAGCACTTGTACCCGTCCCCTGCAGTTTGCTTGTGGGGAAACCAAGGCCATCAGAAACTACATTTTCTAGCCCAAGAATCTGTAGAGAGATAACTACTGGCAGAGTTGGAATGCCAGCTGATCTTACAGATTCTGAGTCAAGTCCTCTAGCCTCTAGCAATACTAAAAATAGATTAGGAGGGTTTCTTCTGTTTACCATGTTGAACTTTATTTACTTAGTCTTCAAGTATGAAAACATGTTTCAGTGAGTTTTAGATCTAGATATTTCTCTTGGATTGAAGCAAAAAATAAAATCTGAAGGGAAGAATATGATTGAACTATTTGTTCTTCTGAACACCTCACCTTTCATGATGCAATAAATTACTCCAAGTTTCTTGGCAGAACTTTTGACAGTTGTTGCTTTGAATGGATTCCATTCCTGGATTCCTTACGGGGGTTTGTTTTTCAAATAGACTCCTGCGATGGAAATGAACTCAATATGTAGTAAGTTACGGTTTTCTTCGATATATCTTTAGTTATGTGGGTTGCAAATGTTCGATTTCAGCATATTTCAGGGGGAGTAATCAAAAACATGCATTTTTCTTTGATTTCCTACCAGTGTCTGAACTATCATAAAGCATTCTTCTCTTAATATGTGACTTGATTCTATAGTCTCTTTATAAATGATAATTTGTCTATTTCTTAAATGATCTCTCAACCATGGTAATAATAGATTTGTACTCAGAAGATTAATAAGAAAATCGAATGGGTGTTTTTCTTGCAATTAAGACAGACATTTGCAAATGTCTTCTTCTAAGCAGTAGTTGGAAAGATCTGTTACAGTATAACACCTTACAGCTGAAAACATTTGTTCAACACAAACTACAATCACACCTCCTGACTAAACATCACAAAAAGAATGTGATTTTGAAAGTATAAAAAAAAAGAATTCCCAATATCATAGCAACCAGATCTTCCCATATTATTGACAAGTAAGACTTAGTAGCTTGTGGTTTAAACATTATGAACAAAATGTAATATCAGTTAGAAAAAGGAAGGTCTCTTTCTCCTCTAGTTAAATAAATAGAACACTAGTGACTTTGGTTTCTCTTTCCAACTGGCTTATTCTGTTGCAAGTGTACTCTTTTGAAAACTCTGATTTCAGAGGATCTCTTGAATTTACACTTTAGTGATGGGTGTTTTGTTATGTTCTTTTTTTGCATCATGACTTAGTGTAATTCAAGTTCCTAGTAGAAGTGGGGATTTGGGTTTTTGGAATTCTGAGGTGGCATCTCCTCTTTTGGCACAGGCTGAAGGCTACTGCCCACCAATGCCAACAGCTCAGTCACTGATGGCAGTTTGCGTGTGAGTCTTACTCTGTGCGCCACCCCACTTTGCCTGTTTGCAGTGAGAAATGCATCTAGTTTTATGACCCTCCCTAGAGCAGCTGTAAGAACAGACATGGAGGACAGACTTTAAAAGCAGCACAGAGTCTAAGAGCTGCTGCCTTCCTCAAAAATAGGCGTTCAGAGGTTGCCTTACAGGTGTTCCCTGAAACAGCCAGTCTGTTAATGTGAGCAAGGGATGCTGAGTACACAATTGCTTTTAGGCTTAGATAGTTACTGTCTACATTTGCTAACCTACATGATGATGAAGGCAGGGTTTCAACTGAGAGGACTTGTTCTAGTTACAGAAGACTTGCTGTGTTCTTAACAATTGGAAAATGTTTATTTTTTTGTGTTTTGTGAGTTCTCCTGTCTTGCTCTAATTTAAGTTCATGGCTGTGGGAAGTTGGAGAAAATGGGCTTAAGACTCTGAAGACCAGAGGACAAGGGACTTTCAAGAGGGCTTGTATTGGGATTTGAGGGCCACACTAGGGAAATTCAGCGACCAGTTACGTCCTGCTAAAGTACTCTGTTGGACAACAGGACTGGATCCTGAAGGTCCTTCACAGAGCTCTGCCCTCAAGAGCGGTGCAGTTGGATGCAAGCACCCCATCATAGGGCGATTGAATCAGCTGAGTTTTGTTGTTTTTGTTTTGTCTTAAGGCAACTTGTATGAGGAATTCACCTGTACCTATCTTGGGAACCGGGTGTACCCTTTTCTTTAGCACTGCCATTCTTTTTGTCTTCATCGCAAATATGTTCAAGAAAGCCAGAGGCAGGAAGGGCCATTTTGGTCTTCATTACAGTGGGCCAGGAGAGAGAATGAGGTGATGGTCTATTTTAACCTTGAGAGTAAAAGTGTATATTTTTTCACTACAGGTACATTGAACAGTAAAATGAGTAACAGCAAAGTATATATTTGATGCCTTCTGTCTTTTCATAATGTGCTAACAAGTTGTGTTAATATTTTACTTAGCCAGAGTCTTACACATTTGCTAGGCCTTGGGAACATTATGTATATTGATCTTAAACATAAATATAGGGTGACCTATATTGGATTGTGACTTGTAGATGCTAACCTTACTGCCTCTTTTTCACACTTGTTGGAAAGTCTGTGAAGAACATAGTAGATTAAAAATCTCCAACTTTGGAAAATGTACACGATGTGAAACTGAGGTGCTATGTTAAAAATAAATGTATGACAACTAAGTGTGCTTTTATGGAGTCTTGGTGTCGATATGTTGTGGCCTGCATTTGATCTTGTGCATTTCCTGGAAGTGCCGTGGGAAAGAGTTGGAGGTCTTCCCATTTAAAGTCTGAGATTTTATTATTTTTACCTCCTAGTGATCTGAGGTAGGCCCTTAAACATCTTTACAGGGTCAACGCTGGGCGATCATGGGAGATCATGCCTAACAGTGCATTTTAAAGAACGACTGAATTGAAAATTTGACTTAATGTGGGGTCCAGGTAATTTGCTTCATCCTGTCAGTATTCTTTTTGTTCAAAAATGTTCCCATCATCACATCCTTAGCTAGAGTAGGGGTAAAGGGGGAGGGCTCAGGAAGAGTGGGCTTGAGAGCCCCACCAAGTAATCTGTCATCCCAGTTGCAGTTTCTTACTTTTAAAATTTGAATAATTTTAGGAGTCTACCAGTTTCCTATCATATGGGGGTTTTATTCTGTATGGTGAATGCATATGGTGGACTACACATGGGATATTTCTAGTAATCTAGTAGTTCTGAATACCAAATGAACTCTGGAAAAAATCTTCTGTGATCTGGCTCATAAACTTGGGCACTGGAGATCACCTGACCCTGACCTTTCCCAAGCGCTGGTGAGGATCATTTTGGAGATAAAAGAGATCTGAGGTCCTCTAGGCAAGTGGTTCCCAAAATGTGGTCCCTGGACCAGCAGTATCAGCATCATTGGGGAACTTATCATTGGAGAATAATTGAATCAGGGACTCTGGGAGTGGGCCTGGCAGTGTTCGTGATGACAAGCCCTCCACGTGATACTGGTGCCCACTACTACTGAACTGCTGCTCTAGCTAATTTCATTTTACAGCCAAAGAAACCGTGGTGCAGAGAGGCAACATGGACTCATCTAGGTCTCAGTTAGTTGACAGCAAAGGATCAAAAGGTTCCTCAGGCAGTCTTTCTCCTGTGCTACAGGGTCCAGTCATGAGTTTGTTCCCTCTCCTGACCTTCCCTCCACAGATACTTGCCGTGCTCTTGCTGTGTATCGAATACTATGTCAGGAACTGGAGGTGAGACCTACAATACAGCATCCCTTCCCTCAAGTTGCTCACAGACCCCTACACAGGAACTGCAGTGCAGTGTGGGACGGTTACTAAGATGTATGAGGGTAGGCTGACTGCTGTAACAAAGAACCCCAAGAGTAGAGTGGCTTGACCCAATGGACGTGTATTTCTCACCTTACAGTACAGAGTGGATATTCTTAGTTGCCCCATTTTCTTTGTGGTTATGTGGGGACCCAGACTCCTTTCATGTGTGCTTTCATCTTCCTCCTTTTAGGAAAAAAAGATACTGTAGGAAAGATAAAATTTCTCTTCACTGAAGTGCTACACATCACTTCTATGCATACTTCATTTCCCAGAGCTCAGATGACAACAGTTAACTGTGATGGAGACTGGGAAATGTGGTCTAGCTGTCAGTTCAGGAGGAAAAAGTTGTAGTGGGCACATTGTCCACCAGGAGACACAAGGCCAGTTGGCTCTGCGAACACATGGTGTGGGGGTGGGACATCTAATTCAGACTGTGGGGATCCAGGAGAGCTTCATGGAAGAGTCTTAAAGAAGGGATAAGCATTAACTAAGAAAAAGAGGGTGTTCCGGGCAGAGGGAGCTGCATATGTTAAGGCAAGGCAGTATAAGAACATGGTGTATTCTGGCAACTGCAAAAGATTCTCGTCTGGAAGGAGGAGCCAGTGGAGTGTGGAGGGGAGGAAGTGGCCAGAGTTGGGCATGGGGGCTGGATGGGAAGGCATGTCATGAGAAGGCATAAAGCATCCTGAAATTCTAGCCTCTTTCAAGATTTAAGCACAAACGCATGAAGTCACTTCACTAATATTCAAGAAGTGATAGGTGTTCTCTCCATTTTTTTCTACCTCCTAGAAAGGAGGTAGAAGAGTCTTCACTGGAAGACTGTAAACTGGTGCTTCTGACATGAACCAAACCTGTTCATTTGATTTGTTACACATCTTGTGGCATGTGTTTGGACAAAGGCCCGAAGCCCAGAGCACAAGGGACTAAACCCTGCGAGGCAGGAGCTCCACTGGATGACGCGAGACGTTTTCCATCCTCACTTCTTTCCTTTTGGGGGAGATAATGGGCACTGAGGTGACCGAAAGGCACAGGGCTCTTCTGTTCCTTTTTTCTTTCTTTCTTTTTTTTTCTTTTTTTTGGCAGGAAGGCTTAACGAAGTACAGGAATGAAGAGTTTGGAAATGAAGCTGAAATACCGATTTGTTTGGAACACGAGTTCTCATTTGAATTTATTTAATAATTCTGAAAATCCCTGAGTCTGGGGGAGAAATGCTCCCAAGTGTAGCATCTCTGTGGCAAACTCCAACTTCAAAGAGTACTGCCATACTGTTTTTAGAATAGGTATTTTGGAAGTGCAGACATTGGTGTTGGCAGGTCTAAGCGATTTTCTCATTGCATTTGTCTTTCAATCATAGAGTATATATATATATATATATATATATATATATATATATATATATATATATATATATATAACAACAGTAACCACAGTAATTGTTTTGAACATAGACCGACAGAATATTTGGGGGGGTGCATTTTAACATTGGCCAGTGTCTAAACAAGTTTAGAACCACTGGCACATGCTGAAAATAAAAGACTGACTTGTGGTCAGTTCTGTTACTGTTTTTCTTTTAAACTTTTTACAGAGAATGCACCCCAGTTTCTTGGACCTGGGGTGGACCACTCCTGCCCTAGGTACACCACTGTGGAACAGAGTGCATGCCTCCACCCCTGGATTAGACTTACTCAAAGCAACAAGGCTGAAGGAAAGCCAAAGGGAAGTAAGATAATGCTTGGGGAATGAAATAAAGGAAAGCAAAGCAAATTAAATACAGATACAGAGAATTGTGATGTAGGACCTTTGAAATGCAAATGAAACTGGCTTGAACCTCAACCCATGTGTGGTGAGAGCCTGCATCTCAGTCTTTCTGGAGATTGTGAGAGGCAGAGGAACTGATGTTTTTATCCTTGTCACTTCTGGCTCAGATATGTTTCCTAGGAATTAGTTTGATAGATGGACCATCTATTTCCCGGCAGAACGTCATTTACACGAGGCATTTGTGTGTCTGTGTATGGAAGATGGGGTGGGGCGGGAAAGGGGCAGAATTTATGGAATAGAGTTTATATCCAGGGGACGTTGTTCACATTGTGTTCTGTACGAAAGATGCCCCTTGCGGGTTGTGCTGCGGCCGACCCATTCACAGCTCTGAGCTGCACAGTGCACTCTCCGAGTGAAGACGGAAGGTGGCAGGTGGGAACTGGGGAGGTCCTGCCAGTATTTCTGTTCTAACTCAGTGCCCAGACCCCCACTACAGATCTCTTTTCTCTCCTTCCTGTTTCTATGCTAGGTCTGGGCCAGTAGGTCTCAACTGGGTGCACTTCTGCCTCTGCCCCCCAGGGAACATTTGGCAATATCCAGAAACGTTTTTGGTTGTCGCAACTTGGGAGGGCATAGCCTGGGTTAAAGACAGGGATGCTGCTAACATCCTACAGTGCATCGCACAAACCCCACCACAGAGAATGGTTTGGCCCCACATGTTAATAGTGACTGTGTTGTGAAACCTCCAGGGGAGCCCCTGAGGCTTCCTTCATTTCCCCTCAATTATTCAGAGCAATGTAGCCTTCTCCCCATCACTGCCAGGGACACCCCTTTACATGGTCAGAGCTACATGAACAGGTTCTGCTAAGTTAGTCCATTAATTTAAATACTTCCAGGATCCGAGCAGCAGTGTAAATTAGTGAAGTGAGTCAGAGTAAGATGAGAAGTGGCGCTGGCCCATACGTCACAGTGGTAGGGAGTCATAAGCCGGGACTGTGACAGATCCATGCTGGTATACTCCGTCTATGAGGGCAGGTCTAGATGATTGCCATACGGGCTCCTGTGTTGCTAGATTTCTAATTCCTTGAGAGGGGCTCAATATCACCTCTGCCTTACCCCCCAGAACGTCTGTTTTATGTTACCTACTTTTTTATTGAGGTATAATGTACATGTACCAATTTTAAGTTTTCATCCCAATGAATAGTCAAAATAATCTTGAAGAAGAACAGAGTTGGAGGACTTATATTACTAGATTTCAAGACTAGCTATAAAGCCACAGTAATTAAGAGTATGGTATTTTTGCAGATGTTAGACAAACAGATCAATAGTACAGAATAGAGATCCCAGAAACACATTCACACATATATAATCCCTTGATTTACATTAAAGATGTTACCATAATTCAGTGGGCGAAAAAGATGGTCTTTTCAATAAATGGTACTGGAACAATTAGATATGCATGTGGAAAAAAATGAACCTGGATCCCTACCGTGTGCAAAAATTAGTTCAATATGGGCCATAGATCTAAATGTGAAAGGTAAAACAATAAGGCTTCTGGAATAAAGTATAGGGTAATATCTTCATGAATTTCATAAAGAGTTTTTTTAAACAGGGCATACAAAGAATTAACCAAAAAGGAAAAGATTGATAAATTGGATTTCATTAAGATTAGGAACCTCTGTTTATCAGAATTCACAACAAAGAGAGTTTTGGCAGGCTGCGGCACAGTAGAACTTATTTGCAATACATCTGTCAAAGAGTTCTTGCCTATTTTTTTTTATATGTTGGCAACTATTTTCAATTTAAAACACGGAGGGGGAAAAAAACCCACTGTGCAGGCTAACATTACGCAGGCCAAACAAAACATGTCTGTGAGCCAGGTTGGGCCTACTCACTGCCAGTTTGCAACCTCACCTTTCACAGCGTAGAAGAATGATAGAAGCTTTAACATTTCTGTATTTTCTCATTCTTTTCTTGCCAGCCTCTGTAAGGGGAAGAAACAATGTAGACATATATTTCTTAATAATAGGGATTTTTCTCTTAGATGGCAGCATGGCTGGTTATAGTGATTTTACGTTTTAAATAGTAGTTTCCTCCCTCTGATAGAC